GCCAAAATCAGCCAAGTTCTCTTGACTTTCAGCAAACAGATTTGTATCATTTGCAAAATGCAGTTTGTTAATGTGTCTTCCTTCGATCCTGATGCTACATGTGAGGTAGCAAGTCACATGTGGTTCTGAGATTGGAAACATTCAGGGTATAGTTCTTCAATCAGGACAGACTCTTCTTTTTAAAAAAAAATAAAAAAATTATTATTTTATGCGTGTACCATCAAATCAGATCTGACTGGTACGGGAGGAGATTGCCCCTCCTTCTCCAGCTGAGTATCTGGTGGATTTGAACTGCATACCTCTGGGGACAGACTCTTCTTAAATGTGTTCATAGGCAGGCTTCTCTGACTCTTAACTTCTTGGATTTAAACTCTTCACGACTTGGGGCAAGTGCAACAAAGCTCTTTTCATTCTTCCAGTTATGTCCTACCCCTTCTCCACCAGTAAACCCAGGCCTAAAGGTGCTCAGCTCTCTCTCCGTCAGGGATCCACAGAGGTGCCCCATGTACTCTGTCTCATACTGGTCTCTGTTTCTCCACCACTTGGGATGCTGCTACTGTTGGTGGCCATCTCTCTGTCTCACTCTGCCACTTTAACTCTGATCTGTAGAGGAATCTCTGGCCCAAAGGGTATACTGCCCTCTCTTCTCCTTTCTTGATAGCAATGGCATCCCCATTTTCTGCCTTTGGGCATGCCCAGTCTAAACCTGGTAGAATGGTAAATCTGATCAATCCTCATGCAAGCACTTTAAACACCTTATTTGCACTGTTTTGCACCCAAAGGGCACTCTTTATCTTCTTTTGATGTCAGTCAGTCAAACGATCCTCCTGACCAATCACAAGCATGTAACATGTAACATCTGCATAGTCCTACCTAGGCATGTGGTGAGCGCTGTACCAACAATGGCTAGATAAACTGTAGTGGATAATCCACAGTAACACATAAGGTTTTTACACTGAGACAATTATTCTCGGCAGCTCCAAGGACTTACAAGTTGTTTTTTTCTCTTCCTCCCATCCTCCTCTCTTTCCTTCTTGGCTGGCCATCTCCAGCCCTCATCTCTGCATTTTTGCCTTCCCATGCACACTGTGCTGCTTTTTTTCTCATCTCTGAAAAGAAACCTCCCCAGCAGGGCTGACCTTTTTTCTATTTCTCTGTGTGTGTCATGAGTTTCCATCTGTCAACCTGTCTTTGTTGTTTTTTCATTACCCATGATACCTCAGAATGTTCTGCAAACATTTTTTCTTTTTAAACAGGGGGAATGGTGCTCATACAATCATTTTACAGCCGCCCATAGTACAATTGATAAGATGGAAAGTACAAAAGTATTCTTCAAACTTTTTACCTTCTTTAAGGTAAAAGGGGTGTGTGTGTGTGTGTGTGTGTGTGTGTGTGTAGTGCTATAGAAGGAGAATTGACGCCTTTGAGCTGTAGTGCTGGAGAAGAGTATTGAATGTACCATGGACTGCCAAGAAAACAAATAGATTCATCCTAGAGAGGGTTAAACCAGGCTGCTCCTTGGAGGCAAGGATTCTGGGACTTCGCCTGACATACTTTGGACATGTTGTAAGGAGAGACAGGTCTTTGGAGAGGGACATCATGCTGGGCAGAGTGGAGGGACAGCGCAGGAGGGGACCCTTTATGAGATGGATTGATTCGGTGACTGGGGTAATCGGGATGGGTGTGTCAGAGGCAGTGTGATTGGCACAGGATAGAGCAGGGTTTAGGACTGTTGTACATAGGGTCGCTATGAGTCGGAAACGACTCGACGGCACATAACAACAACACAACAACATATTATAGTATATTAATTATATTAATTCTATTCTATTTATTCTATTCTATTCTATGCTATCCTATCCTATTATTATATTATATATCATATTATAAAAAGAATGAATAACAGAGTACCTCCTGCCCTGTCTGGTTACACCCTTGGGATGCAGTTTGAGGCCATCAGCAGCTCTGTGGGAAAAGGATGAATAATCTCCTCCCATGTGATTAACTGCCTCTGAAAACCCACTGGAGGGTCAGCTATGGACCGGTTCCTCCTCTACAGTACATAACAACAACAACAATACACCTAAGCTAGGGTAGAATTTTTAAAAATTCATTTTAAACATTTCACAATTTAAAGATTAAACTAAGTTATCCTGGATTTTTTTCTCTAAAATGTATTGTGTAGTTGTTGTGGTGGTGGTAGTGGTGTACCATCAAGTTGGAACCACCCATAATAGACCCTCCAGCAGGTTTTCAGATGCAGTTACTCTCAAGAGAGGAGATTGCCCAACCTTGTCTTACGGAGCAGCTGGTGGCCTCGAACAGTGGGCCTTCGGTATTTCTGGGCAGCACCTTGCCACTAGGCCACCAGAGCACTTTAAAATGTATAACATAATAGTTACATAGTCAAATGAATATGTGAATAATTAGAATTGAGAGAATCCCAGTTATGCTGTTAAAATGATAAAGGTCTGTGATACTTATTGGGCAAGAGATGGTATTTTGTGCTAATGTTTGTTTTGACCAGCACATTGAACAAAGGCTTCACCTAAGAATAGTTACTTATAGTTACTATTTATTCTATTATTATTATTATTATTATTATTATTATTATTATTATTTTTGTGTGAGTATACTGTCAAATCAGATCTGACTGGTACAGGAGGAGATTGTCCCTCCTTCCCCAGCAGAGCATCTGGTGAACCATGTACCTCTGGGATTGTAGTTGCAGCTCCTTGCCACTAGGCCACCAGAGCTCCCCTATTTATTCTTTCTAGTCCAAAATTCAGTACTTTTCTCCAGCACCACAGTTGAAAGGCATCAATTAATCTTCTGTCATTTTATTCATTGTCAGCTCTCAGCAGCATAGAAAGTGATTGAAGAGACCTGAATAAGGCATACCCTAGTCCTCATACTAACATCATTGCTCCTTAATAATTTGGAGAGGTTCTTGACTGAAGACTTTCCCAACACAATACATCTGTTGTCTAGGAAGCTGTAAAATTAAATCCAAGGAAACTGACTAAAGGCTTGCTATTTTGTGGCCCCCCCCTATAAAATTTTATACTTAAGACTAAATAAAAATGGCATTCTGCAATGAAATGTAGGAAACGTCCCAGTCTCTAAGTAACACACACACACACACACGCTTAAGGCCTTAGAATAGTGATATTCTGCAGGGCTGTGTGGGCAGAGTAAAATCACTCTGGTAGTAAAAGGTAAGGGTTCAGTCCAGGGCATCAAACTGATTTGAACCAGTTTAGGAATTTGGGTGGAGGAGAATAATAATTGGAATGGAAATTACTGTGGAAGCCCTGGGATAGAAGTCCTAGAAAAGGCTAGTGAACTCTTTCAGACCCCAGATGTGGGAGAGTGGATTATTGCCAGGAGAGTGGAGAGTGACAGACATTCACAATGGTGCGGTTGGCTGCCATCTTTGAGCAGGGCATTGTTGTTTCCACCTGTGCTTGTTAAGAGATTTGGTTGCTATGCACAGTGTGTGCTGTCCCTTTTTCCCCTCCAAGAGAGATAATAATGTTTCTAACAAGGCATAAACCTGCAATTTTCCCCATTCCACTTATTGTCCCAGTTCACCTGCACTTTTCAAATTCATGTCCATTTTAGTTTTGCTTCATCAGCCATGGCTGAATAGGAGGAACCAATTCACATCCTGATTCAGACCTGCTGGCTTGGTGAAGCTTACCCTAAATGAAACTTTTTCTTAGCCTTTTCATCATGTACCATAAAATGCCCAGAGCCTTTTTCAACTAGAAACTCTCACCTGACTTGGGAATTTTGAAGAAACAAAAAAAAAAAGAAAAGAAAGACAGGGGTTCCTGGTATGATTCTCCCTTATTTACTAGGCTAGAGCCAGAAAACATAGCTATATACCCAAGTGGGGAGAAAATACCTTTCAATTAGCTGTAATCTTGGTTTTATTTTTTATTTACTTTATCACCTTCTCATCCTATAAGAAGTACTAAACAGTGTACATTGGAAACCATTTCAGCTAAATTTGATCTTCATCCTTTAACACCTCACTTTCAATTAGAAGGATGATAGTTGTGAAAGAACATGCTGTATCACTCTGTATTTAAACATAAGCAAACAAGAAGTGAACTTGGCCACTTTCTTATATAATTAGCTCACTCTTTAATGAGGTCAACAAAAGCATCTGTATTTGCAAAACTGCCTTTTAAATCATAGTATGAGAATCTTCTGGGTGAACTACTCAAGTTTCAAATAGTGTGAACTGATGCCAGAAACAGGTAATTTTGCAGTAATGGCTAATCCATAACTTCCTGTCTCCCAGGGGGCAAAAAAAGGAAAAACGAAGCCAAGCCTTTTATATCCACCAAAGTGTAAAAGGAGACACCAGCAAATATCCTGTTATCTAAATACCTTTAATGTGTCATCAAGATTTTTTTCTTTTTCAAACCCAGAAGAATAAAAGAAAATATTCTGTATTATTGGTGACTAGTTCACACAGCCTTCCCCTTTGATAGCTAAATCTTTTTTTAAAGAGTATCTTTTCATGGTAAGCATGGATATTCATGGTGATATTCACAGTATTCCATCATTGATGCAGAATAAGACAGGGCTCAGATCTGTTGTTTATAGGGTTGCTCAACTTGATAGCACCTCACAACAACAATAACAACATCATTTGTGTGACATAGACCCTGATGAATCAAGTGGCACTGGACTCAGAGTCAGAGCAGGAGTTCTGGTCATGAAGAGCCTCAAGTTTGCTGGATCAGAGGAAGGAGAAGCAGTTCCAAAAGAGAGGCTGGTGTTAGGAGTGTAGTAGGAGGGACTTAGGATATATGTCTTGACTATTCAATATGGAGGCAGTTTGGCATCAAATAGCATCACTATACAAGTGCATGAGCCATGTAAGAATCCAGCCACACTCTAATATCTAAAATTAGGTAAAGGTGTTGGATCAGGGATGACAATAGTCACTTAAACGCTTTTTTTGTTCTTTTTTAAAATCTCAGATTGGGGAGTTACTGAGCACCACCCATCCAGCCAACAAAGCCAGTTTAACCCTGTTCTGTCCTGAAGAAGGGGACTGGAAGAATTCCAATCTCGACAGACACAATCTCCAAGATTTCATCAACATTAAACTCAACTCAGCCTCTATACTGCCCGAAATGGAAGGACTCTCTGAGTTCACTGAGTACCTCTCTGAGTCGGTGGAAGTCCCGTCTCCCTTTGACATCCTGGAACCTCCCACGTCCGGGGGCTTTCTCAAGCTGTCCAAGCCCTGCTGTTACATCTTCCCAGGAGGGAGGGGTGATTCCGCACTATTTGCCGTGAATGGATTCAACATGCTCATCAACGGAGGATCCGAGAGAAAGTCTTGCTTCTGGAAGCTCATCCGACACTTGGACCGAGTGGACTCCATCCTGCTCACCCACATTGGGGATGACAACCTGCCCGGCATAAACAGCATGCTACAGCGAAAGATAGCGGAGCTGGAGGAGGAGCAGTCCCAGGGCTCCACCACCAACAGTGACTGGATGAAAAACCTCATCTCCCCCGACTTAGGGGTTGTGTTTCTTAATGTCCCCGAGAATCTAAAAAACCCCGAGCCAAACATCAAGATGAAAAGAAGCATAGAAGAAGCTTGTTTTACTCTGCAGTACCTCAACAAATTATCCATGAAACCAGAGCCTCTGTTCAGAAGTGTCAGCAATACCATCGATCCTGTCATTCTTTTCCAGAAAATGGGAGTTGGGAAACTGGAGATGTATGTACTTAACCCAGTCAAGAACAGCAAGGAAATGCAGTATTTCATGCAGCAGTGGACTGGCACCAATAAAGACAAGGCTGAACTAATTCTGCCTAATGGTCAAGAAATAGACATCCCAATTTCCTATTTAACGTCAGTCTCCTCTTTGATCGTGTGGCACCCAGCAAACCCTGCTGAGAAAATCATCCGAGTCCTGTTTCCTGGAAATAGCACCCAATACAACATTCTAGAAGGCCTGGAGAAACTAAAACACTTGGACTTCCTGAAACAGCCACTGGCGACCCAGAAAGATCTTACTGGCCAGGTAGCCTCTCCTGCGGTGAAGCAAATAAAGCTGAAACAGAGGGCTGATAGCCGAGAAAGCCTGAAGCCAGCCCCAAAGCCAGTCCCAAGCAAAACGGTGCGGAAGGAGTCTAAAGAGGAAACCCTGGACATTGCAAAAGCTAACCATGTGGAAAAGTCACCCAAAGTGGAAAGCAAAGAAAAGGTCACGGTGAAAAAAGATAAGCCATCCAAGCCAGAGGTGAAGCCTTCAATGAGTGAAAAGGAGGCACCCAGCAAGGAAGACCAGCCCTTGGCGAAAACCGAGGTGGCTGAAAAGCAAGCCACGGACGTCAAACCCAAAGTCACCAAGGAAAAAGTCCCTGTGAAAAAAGAGACGAAGCTCAAGTCTGAAGAAAAGAAAGAGGACAAGCCAAAGAAGGAAGTGGCTAAGAAGGAGGACAAGACACCCATCAAGAAAGAGGAGAAAACCAAAAAGGAAGAGGTGAAAAAAGAGGTCAAAAAAGAAGTCAAGAAAGAAGAGAAGAAAGATGTCAAGAAAGAGGTTAAGAAAGAAACGCCGCTGAAGGAAGCCAAGAAGGAAGTGAAGAAGGAAGACAAGAAAGAAGTGAAAAAGGAAGAAAAGGAGCCCAAAAAAGAAATCAAGAAGGTCTCTAAAGATATAAAGAAAACATCCACGCCTCTCTCTGAAGCAAAAAAACCAGCTGCATTAAAACCCAAAGTGCCCAAGAAGGAAGAGACTGTCAAGAAAGACGCCCTAAGTGCTGCTGGGAAGCCAAAGGAGAAAGGGAAAATTAAAGTCACTAAGAAAGAAGGCAAGACCACAGAGGCGGCCGCTGCAGCCATCGGCGCCGTGGCCACTGCTGCGGCTGTGTCAGTGGCAGCCGCAGCAACCGGCCCTGCCAAAGAGCTGGAAGCTGAGCGCTCCCTCATGTCTTCCCCGGAGGATCTCACCAAGGACTTTGAGGAGTTAAAGGCTGAGGAGGTCGATGTAGTGAAGGACATCAAGCCTCAGCTGGAGCTAATTGAGGATGAAGAGAAACTGAAGGAGAGTGAGCCTGTGGAGGCCTATGTCATCCAGAAGGAGACAGAAGTCATCAAAGGGCCTGCTGAGTCCCCCGATGAGGGCATCACCACGACCGAGGGCGAGGGGGAGTGCGAGCAGACTCCCGAGGAGCTGGAGCCCGTTGAGAAACAGGGGGTCGATGACACTGAAAAGTTTGAAGATGAAGGCGCTGGCTTTGAAGAATCTTCAGAGACGGGAGACTATGAAGAGAAGGCTGAGACCGAGGAGGCGGAGGAGCCCGAAGACGATGGTGAAGAGAATCTGTGCATGAGAAGCTCAAAGCCCAGCCCCATGGAGGATGAGGAAAGTGCCAAGGCCGAGGCCGACGTGCACATCAAGGAGAAGAGGGAATCTGTGGCCAGCGGTGATGACCGGGCAGAAGAAGACATGAACGAGGCAGTGGAGAAAGGGGAGGCCGAGCAATCTGAGGAGGAAGGGGAGGAAGAAGAGGAGGACAAAGCTGAGGATGCCAGAGATGAGGAATATGAGCCTGAAAAGGTCGAAGCTGAAGACTACGTGATGGCAGTGGTTGACAAGGCCGCAGAGGCCAGTGGTGCTGAGGATCAGTACGGGTTCCTTACCACGCCGGCCAAGCAACCTGGAGCCCAGTCTCCTGCCCAAGAACCTGCCTCGTCCATTCATGATGAGACCCTACCTGGAGGCTCGGAGAGCGAGGCCACCGCTTCCGATGAGGAGAATCGAGAAGACCAGCCCGAAGAATTCACTGCTACCTCTGGCTATACACAGTCCACCATTGAGATATCCAGCGAACCCACCCCGATGGACGAGATGTCTACTCCTCGGGACGTGATGAGCGATGAGACTAACAATGAAGAGACCGAATCTCCATCTCAAGAATTTGTAAACATCACCAAATATGAGTCCTCTCTGTATGCTCAGGAATGCTCCAAGCCTGCTGTGTCACTCAATGGATTCTCTGACGTGTCAAAAACAGATGCCACTGACGGCAAGGATTACAATGCCTCAGCCTCGACCATATCACCGCCCTCATCCATGGAGGAAGACAAATTCAGCAAATCTGCTCTCCGTGATGCTTACTCTGAAGAGAAAGAAGTGAAAGGCAGTGCCACGCTGGAAATCAAAGACACCTCAGCTGTTTTAGATGGAAAACTCAGTCCATCCAAGAGTCCATCTCTGAGTCCTTCTCCACCATCACCTGTTGAGAAGACCCCTCTGGGTGAACGTAGTGTGAACTTCTCTCTGACACCCAATGAGATTAATGTCTCAGCAGAAACAGCAGTCCCATTGTCTCCCGGGGTGACTCAAGAAGTAGTTGAAGAACACTGTGCCAGTCCAGAGGACAAGACTCTGGAAGTGGTGTCTCCATCTCAGTCTGTGACTGGCAGTGCTGGTCACACCCCTTACTACCAATCTCCTACTGATGAGAAATCCAGTCACCTCCCCACAGAAGTCATCGAAAAAACACCAGCAGCTCCAGAGAGTTTTGAATTCGATGAAGCCAAAGATGACAATGAGAGGCCTTCTATGAGCCCGATGGATGAACCTGTACCTGATTCAGAATCTCCTATTGAAAAAGTTTTGTCTCCTTTACGAAGCCCACCCCTAATTGGATCAGAGTCTGCGTATGAAAGTTTTCTAAGTGATGATGGCAAGACGCCTGGCAGGTGCACTGAAAGCCCCTTTGAAGGAGAAGAGGGCAAACGAGATTTCCAAGATCAAATAAGTCCAGTTTCTGAAACACCTTCCTCTGGCCTTTTCCAAGAGAAACAGGAAATGAAAGACACAGACTTTATACCAATAAAGGAAGACTTTGACAAAGAAAAGAAAGCTGATGATATTGAAGCTGTGAGCTCTCAACCAGAACTGGCTTTGGATGAAAGAAAATTAGGAGGAGATGTCTCTCCTACACAAATTGATGTCAGCCAGTTTGGCTCTTTTAAGGAAGACACCAAGATGTCCATTTCTGAAGGAACCGTCTCTGACAAATCAGCTACTCCCGTGGACGAGGGTGTAGCAGAAGACACCTACTCTCATATGGAAGGTGTAGCCTCTGTTTCTACAGCTTCTGTGGCTACAAGCTCATTCCCAGAGCCAACAACGGATGACGTGTCTCCTTCTCTGCATGCTGAGGTTGGCTCTCCCCATTCCACCGAAGTCGATGACTCCCTTTCAGTGTCTGTTGTCCAAACACCCACCACTTTCCAGGAAACAGAAATGTCTCCATCTAAAGAAGAATGCCCAAGACCGATGTCAATTTCTCCACCAGACTTCTCCCCTAAAACAGCTAAATCCAGGACGCCAGTTCAAGATCACAAATCTGAACAATCCTCAATGTCTATTGAGTTTGGTCAAGAATCCCCCGACCACTCCCTTGCTATGGACTTTAGTCGCCAGTCTCCAGATCAACCTGCTGTGGGTGCAGGCGCACTTCACATCACAGAAAATGGGCCAACTGAAGTGGACTATAGTCCTGACTTGCAGGACTCTAGTTTATCACATAAGATACCACCAATGGAGGAGCCGTCCTACACCCAAGATAATGATCTTTCTGAGCTTATCTCTGTATCTCAGGTAGAGGCCTCCCCATCCACCTCATCTGCACACACCCCGTCTCAGATAGCTTCTCCTCTCCAGGAAGATACCCTATCCGATGTGGTTCCTCCCAGAGATATCTCCTTATATGCCTCTCTCACCTCTGAGAAAGTGCAGAGTCTAGAAGGAGAGAAGCTTTCACCGAAATCTGATATTTCTCCGCTAACTCCACGAGAATCCTCTCCTTTATACTCACCTAGTTTTTCTGATTCTACCTCTGCCGTCAAAGAAGACACAGCAGCTTGCCACACTTCCTCTTCTGTCCCAGTGGATGCAGCATCCACAGAGCCCTACGGCTTCCGTGCCTCAATGTTATTTGATACAATGCAACACCATCTAGCCTTGAATCGAGATTTGACTGCCTCTGGCTTGGAGACCGACAATGGAGGGAAGACACCTGGTGATTTTAGCTATGCCTATCAAAAGTCAGAGAAAGCAGACAGGTCTCCCGACGAAGAAGGTTATAACTATGAGTCATATGAGAAAACCCATCGGACCCCAGACGTGGGAGGCTATTACTACGAGAAGACAGAGCGAACCATAAAATCCCCATCTGATGGTGGCTACTCCTATGAGACCATTGAGAAAACCACCAAAACCCCAGAAGATGGTGGCTATGCCTGTGAAATTATAGAGAAAACCACACGGACCCCTGAAGAGGGTGGATACTCATATGAGATAAGCGAGAAAACAACGAGGACCCCTGAAGTGAGTGGTTACAGCTATGAAAAGACTGAGAGGTCTCGAAGGCTCCTGGACGACATCAGCAATGGCTATGATGACACTGAAGATAGTGGCCACACACTTGGAGATTCAAGCTACTCTTATGAGACCACTGAGAAGATTTCCAGTTTTCCTGAGTCTGAAACGTATACCTATGAGACATCTACAAAGACCACACGGTCCCCTGATTCTTCCACATACTGTTATGAGACCACAGAGAAAATCACCAGGACCCCTCAGGCATCTACGTACTCCTATGAGACGTCAGACCGATGCTACACTGCAGAAAAGAAGTCCCCCTCAGAGGCCCGCCAGGATGTTGATTTATGCCTGGTGTCTTCTTGTGAGTACAAGCATCCCAAGACAGAGCTGTCCCCGTCCTTCATTAACCCCAATCCTTTAGAGTGGTTTGCCAGTGAAGACCCAACTGAAGAGTCTGAGAGGCCCCTCACTCAAGCAGGAGGAGCCCCACCACCGCCAGGAGGCAAGCAGCAGGGGAGACAGTGTGATGAAACTCCACCCACCTCAGTCAGCGAGTCAGCTCCATCCCAGACAGACTCAGACGTTCCCCCGGAAACGGAAGAGTGCCCCTCCATCACAGCTGATGCCAACATCGACTCTGAAGATGAATCTGAAACCATCCCCACGGACAAAACCGTCACATACAGGCACATGGACCCACCACCAGCCCCCATGCAAGACCGCAGCCCATCTCCCCGCCACCCTGACGTGTCCATGGTGGACCCCGAGGCCTTGGCCATTGAGCAGAACCTGGGCAAAGCTCTGAAGAAGGATCTGAAAGAGAAGACCAAGAGCAAAAAGCCAGGCACAAAGACCAAGTCATCTTCACCTGTCAAAAAAGGGGATGGTAAATCCAAACCTTCTGCTGCTTCTCCAAAGCCAGTGGGCTTGAAAGAGGCCTCTGATAAGGTGTCCAGAGTGGCTTCTCCTAAGAAGAAAGAATCTGTGGAAAAGGCCACGAAAACCACCACCACTCCTGAGGTCAAAGCCGCCCGCGGGGAAGAGAAAGACAAGGAGACCAAGAACGCCACCAACGTCTCCACATCCAAGTCGGTGAAGACTGCCACCGCAGGTAGGTCAGGAAGAGGTGGGTCCCTTGACAAAGGCCAGGGCAGTTCTGCTTCATTTGGAGAAACTGTCTGTGGCTTTTAAATCTCCCTGCTTGATAATGTGCTAGGGTGATTGATGAAAGAGCACAGATTGGCCTGTACTGTCCCTTTCCTATCCTAGTATCTTGGTCCAGTGAGGCCCTTAGATTCTGAGAGAGCTCAAGAGATGATCCTAATCTGGTTTACATGATGGCATTCTGGGTTTGCATCTTTCTAGAACACAGCAGCTGAAGCTCTATTCAGAGTAGTTTTAGTATCCAAGGTGTGTGCTTAAACCTCCTCTGCCTGACCATGTTGTCATTGGTTTTAGAAACACTGGCTCTAGAATTGAGTTTAGGTGACACAGGCCACAGAAGGTCCAAAAGATGAAGACAAAGACTCTTAAGTCAACCCTGGAATGAGTAGTTAAATGTCAAGATTTACATTCCACTTTTTTTAAAAAATGGAAAAAAAGGCACCAGGCTAGCAGTATTGACCATGTAAAAGCAATGTGATGTTTTATTATCAGCCACCAGATAACAGAATTTCAGTTGGCTTGTGGGCCAACTCAGTTCACTGCCGTTGAGTCAGAATCAACCCATAGCTGATCGTTTATTTCTAAAACAAAATTGAGTTGACTTTTGGCAAGTTCCTCAGTATTTGACATTGAAAGCAATGAGTTGATACTCAAGTTTTATTTATTTTTGGTTTTGTTTGGTTGGGTTTTTTTTTAAAAAAAAGAAAAAAATACAAACTTCTGCACCAAGTCATAATTCTTCAGGAGGTCCACATATAGATATTTTGAGACCTTCTGCTTAGATTCATATAAATGACCAGTTAACCTAGTCCAAAAATGAGTCTAAAGTATCAGGCTATCTCTTACCTTCCAAACACTGGTCACCACCCAGCAAAAAGTAGTCACACAATCGGCACCGTTCACTTATGGTTTGACTCAGTGATGATGGTCTTAAAAACCTTGTGGAGAACAGAAAGAGGGTCTAGCAGTTAGGACCCAGCTCATGTTTTCAGTGACTTTTAGAGTGATGGTTTTTAAACCAATGCACATTGGAATCACCTGGGAACTTTAAGAATTGGTGATGACCACGCCCCCACCTCAGCCGTAAATCAGACTCTGGTGGGGCCGGAGCAGCAGGTCTGTAAGACCCTCAAATGGTCATTTGTGCTTACAGGGTGAAGAACCACTGCCTTCCCATCTTAGCTCTGTTGGAGTTTCTAAAATGCTAAGCTTTCATGGATTTGGTGGGGATTCAAGTGGAGTTGAGGAAGGGATACAAGATCAGTTTCCCTTAATCTGAGTCATTTACAATGAACATTTTCTTTTAACTGACTCAGTATCATCCTCAGTCTCTCTCATGTCTTCCTGCGAGGCATCCTGGATTTGCGTAAAAGTGTGTCAGAGACAATGAGGGTGGCACAAGATAGGACAGAGTTCAGGTTTGTTGATAGCATCACTTTGAATCATATGCAGCTTGACAGCACCTAACAACAACAGTAACAACAACCTTTAATTTTAATGGCTTGTGTTCTCATATCACCCCTGCCCCAGCTTCAGCTTTGGCCTGGGTGGGCTTCAGTACTGGGGCGGCAATGGGGCAAAATGGGAAGTACTGTTGTCAAGCAGAAAAGCTGTCACAAGACCTACTGAGACCACTACCTCCCAGCCTCCAGTCAGAAGAACCTGTGGGATTCAGTTGCAGCAAATTATTCACTCCTCCACCTAATAGAAAACAAAGGGTTGAGGAGCCCACTTCAATAGAACTGGCTGAAGGCCCCTGCTTCCTGGAACAAGTGAGAACACTGGCTCACCAAATAAACTGCAAAAAAAACTCTTGTATTGATCTGAATTCTTACTTTGTTCAGGCTGTTCTGATTTAGACTGAGAATTTTGGTGGTAAAATTCCCTTTTCTTAAGTGTGGTATGTTCTGCTTGATTCAAAAAACCCAGTCTTTTTGAGCCTTCATCTTGTCAAAGCCCTAGCCTTGTCCTAAGGAGTGATGTTTGGCTTTTTAGAGTACTCTGTTGAGGAAAGAACTTCATGGTTCATCAGGCTGGGGTGTAGAGAGCCTTTGCAATCCTTACGGGGTTGAAATCAGATTTATTTATGAGACCAAATTTGAGGGTAAAAATAATCAATTGCTTCTAAAATTGTTATCAAATGAGATCTTAGAGTGGATTAAGAAGGTGCCTTGACTATGATATACTAAATATTGGCGCTTCTCTTGACTTTAAAATCTGTTTCTAGATCCCTTTTCAAATTAAGATGCACATTAGCAGTTTTGTTTTTGGTTTGTTTTTTTTTTTTTACATTAGCAGTTCTTGAAGGAGAAACGTTGCTATCTAGTTTCATCTTTTAGAGGTTGAAACACTCTTCTGATGTGTTCATTCACTTCTCATTTCTTGTGTTGTGAAGGTTAATTACCATGTCATATTTTTTTCAATTGCCATTGTTAAATGTCCCCTATAAGTTATTAGAGGATAGAAATATCCAGTGCCTCTATTTATGTCCTAGAGGGTTTCTACTTGGATGAGCATAGAAGGAAGACTATATATATATTCTTGCTATCTGTTTGTTTTTCTTAACCAAAGGACCAGGAGCCACCAAGACAGCCAAATCCTCAGCCGTGCCTCCAGGTCCCCCGGTGTATTTGGACCTGTGCTACATTCCTAATCACAGCAATAGCAAGAATGTTGATGTCGAATTTTTCAAGAGAGTCAGGTCATCCTACTACGTGGTGAGTGGAAATGACCCTGCTGCCGAGGAGCCCAGCCGGGCTGTCCTGGACGCCTTGTTGGAAGGAAAGGCTCAGTGGGGCAGCAACATGCAGGTAAGAGCACAAGGACAGTGTCTACAGAGCTAATGTAGCTGTGTCCAGAGCAGATCCACATCAAGTGCTCCATGAGTTTGAACACATGACTTAGCTTGAAGGCAAAGTGGCTTCAGCAATCAGGACATGGTCTCAAATACTAGTGCTGGCACCATGATGGCTTTGAAGGTCACTTCATCTTCATAAGGTCATGACTAATTTTATGTGCATAATGGATACTTGCCCATTGAGATTACTTGTCGGGCCTTCAAATAGAGAGAGAGAGAATGAATGAACAAGTGGTCATATTTAAATGTGAAAGCTAGTAGAAATTTACTACTTTGTCTTCTTTCTGTTTCACAAACAGATCAGGCTAGGAATGTAGCATCTAGAAATTGAACTGTCCATGTGAAATTTTACAAAAAGGAACACAGCTGGAGCATTGCTAGAAATGTTCCTCTACAGGATGTTCCCAACCATCTACTTTCAAACACCGTGTCTGGCCATGAATCACCCGGTGTTATTTCAGCTGTATTCTTTCTTTCTCTACATTTTGCTTACATTTCTTCAAAGAACCACATAGTACATTTTATTTTAATAATACGAAACAGAATTATTAGTTGCTTAATCATCTGAGATGTAATGAGAAGCACCCAGTGACCTGTTAATGAATGCTAGATCAGAGTTTCACTCTTCATGTTGTCATCCATGCACCCCACTCCTCCACTCCCAACCACATGCACAAATCAAGGATTCAGACCTTTGGTCAGGATGACATGTTAACTGCACACAATTAGTGGCCTTTCAAAAGGCTTTAAGTGGCCATAATCCTGTGGATTCAACATACATCATCTTTAATGTAGAACTCACCAGTTGTGTTAAAGGAAATGAAACAAATTATACCATAATTGCTATGCTTCTCTTAACACCAAGGCACTGAGAAACTGGCAGAAAAACTGCAGTAAGATAGGTGAATGCACTGATTAGTCAGTAGTTGCTTTCAGCTCCAGCCTTCAGCTCCCCTGAAAAGAAATAATTTATTCTGGCTCCTGGAAAATGGTCCGCATACAAGACGACAGGAAATGTTGCTTTCTTTCCCTTTGTCGTCGCCAAACCTGGCAGTTGCTCTCCTGGTTTGTTTTGTGGTTGTTGTTGTTGTTGGTTTGGTTTTGTTTTTTATTCTGGTTTCTGGTTTCACTCTTAAATAGATTGGGTTTTTTGTTTTTGTTTTTGTTTTTTACTTTCTCTACAGGTGACCCTGATTCCAACTCATGACTCAGAAGTGATGAGAGAATGGTACCAAGAGACCCATGAGAAACAGCAAGACCTCAACATCATGGTTTTAGCTAGTAGCAGCACAGTGGTTATGCAAGATGAATCCTTCCCTGCATGCAAGATTGAACTGTAAAAACCATGGCAAACTACACCATGGGATTTGAACTTTGTGTCCAGAAATTCTTCAATTTGAGACCACCTTTTCTAAAAAAAAGAGAAAAAAAAAAAGTCAATTCATCTACTTAAGTCGCTGAACTATATTACCTGCCAAATGCTATACTGTGTCATGGTGATGCAAGTCACTAATATTTCTCAGTTTTTGCTAATTGCTAAGGGAAGTAACAGTATTCCCACACTAGGGTTCAAATTATTGCAAAATTTCCTACCCCCGTTCATCTCTGCTGAACATTTGGACACCATGCACTAGCAAACCCAACTGACTTCCACTAGGTAGAGGCATTTGTCTTAGAGAGAGAGTGAAAGCTAGAGCAAGAGAGAGTGAGAGCAAGAGGACATGAGCGAGCACACACAGAGAGAACACGGAATCGAGGGAAACAGGATGGGAGCGAAAAGGAATGGAGAGAAGGAGATGGAAGGGAAGGATGTCTGGTGAGATACCCAGAGAGGAGGAGAGAGAGCAGGGTAGGATAAGGTCCAATATATAACCCAGAGGTAGATCTGTATTTTCTCAGGCATAGATATTTTATAGTCTGAATATGAGAAGTTTTCAGTGTATGTCAGTTTGAGTCATCAAAAAAAAAAGGGTCTAACATTTCTAAATTGAGGTGGTTGGAAGAAAACAGAAAGTGCAAAACTTATGTTTGAAGGCATGTAAGGTTTTTCACACCTTAATTAAGCTCCTTCAGTTTGAGGGCTGCATACTGACATAAGACAATGAGTGTAGACTGGACGTGCAAGTGGTTTGAACCCCAATCTCTCAGACTTTGTAAACACACGAGTATAGGTTGATCTAAGGCATGCTCCCAGCACTTGTCCACCCACTTAGGCCACACTAAGTCAATTAACCTGCATGTGTTAACAACCAGTTCCACCCCAATTAACTGAAGCAAATACCAAAGCCGTTGGGAGTACATATGGTAGACAATTTGCCTTAGAAAGTGACTTGAATGTACAAAGATACTTGATGCACTTATTTTTTAATGTGAGACAGCAAGTTTATAAAACATCCGTGTAGGAGTATAGATTTTCGAGTTACAGGAGCATGTGTGTGCGCGTGGGGGTGGGTACTAGAAGCTGATCTGATTGGTGGAACGGTTTGATGCTGAGTCATGTGTTGACCACCACCTCAGTGCACCTCTGGAGCCTCAGCCAAACAAGTTGAGCCTTTCATGGCTTCTCTGCTACTGCAAGTTCAAGATTGAAATGGCTTCTATGATCAGAACCAGGAAAACAGCGGATCTTGTTAGGAGAAAAGATTCTAAGCAAGTGTATAGCATTTACCTTCTTTTTGTCTTATTTTTTAAATTTTTCATTAATTTCAGCATAATAATGGGAACAAATGTACAGAAGAATTTTGGTGGTTTTTCTTTTTTTTAGATATGTGAGAACTTTTCATAGATGAACTTTTTAACAAATGTTTTCATTTATCAGAAAGTGCAAAGAAAATTTTCAAGTGACAGTCTTTTTTTTTTTTTAAGTGTTTTGTAAGACAGAAAAAAAATGTTTTTCTGAAGTTCTGGTGAGATTGAAGTCTGATATTGCAGTAATATTTATTTTTAAAAATCTTAACTAGTAGAAATAATGTACCTCTCACCCCTTATTTCCCATAACATAGAAATCGGAATATGTGATATTTGAAAGTGGGTGAGAATGGCATGATAGGCTACATTTCAGGGCCTTTACAAGTACATCATCCTAGATACTTCTTTCAAGATGTTCAGCCATGAGGTAAAAGAGCCAAGCCAGGTTCAAAGAACCCTAGCGCAAGTTTGCTTTGGATTTTTCTTTTATGGAGAAAAAAAATCAACAAAACCAAGTACATTGAAAGCAAGTAAATTCCTAACTCCTATGATTCATCATGTAGAGTGTAGAGATCATTTCTATCATTGTCTTCATTGAACTATGAACCTGGAAAGCCAGATCATAGTTAAAACTGATGTCAAGATTCAAGTCGCAGCTGATTGCACCCAGCGTTCAGATGGAGCAACGTATCCAAGACAACTAACTGTACTGTGTCTGTTGTGTTGCATTTCCTGCAGACTCAAGATCTACGAAGTAGTGGACAGTGACCTCATTTTATTGTTTGTTAGTTATTTATTTCAAAATTAACATTGTTAGTTGATTTTTTGACTGCTAAGTGTACATTTTGCACTGCTAACTACTATGAGGGTTTAAACAGTGCTTCTTCAGGGTCCCTTCCCCAAGGGACTATGCGTTCTACTTAATGCTGTGAATTACATTGTTTTTTTCAAATATTTAGGAGGGTTTTTTAAAATTAATAATCTATTTTTGTTAGGTTTTTCTAGAAACACTTTTATTTATTGCCCAATTTCTTTCAAGTCCTTAAAAATTAACAAATTGATTAAGGGTACAAAATATTAACATACGATGGTAGAGTCATCATGATGAAAACTATTTCATTGAATAATTATGTTCATCTGCTTCCAAACTTATGAGATAACTTAAAATATTCAAAATAAGTTTAATTGGTCCATATAATGTAAAGAGAAAGTGATTTGCAACCTTTTGCCAAATTCAGACCTCTGGTTGAATTTTTTTTTTTGTTAGAAAATGAAACTACTTCCCAATTTTCCCAAATTAAACGTGTCTAACACATACATTATTTTACTTAGAAAAGTACAGACATTTTAGAAGAATGATAGGCTACCTTTAATTATAACCACTCTACCCCACTCTTCTTTTCTGCGTTGAAAGTCAGGTGGAGGGGGGAACATTCTAAAAAACTGTCACTGGTCAGCTGGCTCTTTTGCCTATGAAATATTTCACTACCTTTCTCTATCCCTTGTTCCCAATGATGACCATCAGGAAAACCAATATTTGCATTACAGGGTGCTCCTGTCCTTCCAGACTCATTTCCTACCTGTGGGACTAACCTGATTTTGCTAGTTCCGCATGTACACAATTAGTTTTATAACAGCCATCCCAATGTACCATGTACATTCATGGTGAGAGCTGAAGATTGACACAGACTTCTAGGAGCTTTGTTTGCTACTGATTCCTGATTCCAGTTGTATAGATTTGAATATTTGAGTGGAAGGAATTGACACTCTTCTGAAGTGATAGGATTCCATCGAGATAGCATTCATGATCATGTCCTTTTTGGTAGTATTCCTAACCAAAATTCTACAGAGACTAAATGTTAGAGATGAACCTCCATTTTCAATTTTAACCAATTCTACCCCTTTAACCAAAACCCCAACCCTCTATGCATGCTTTCTCAGTCTTGTGGTGGGACTGGATACAATGATTGATTCCCCTTTTAAACGCCATTGCCCATGGAGTTAAAAAAAAATAAAATTTTTTTTAACCCTTCCATCTCATAGTGAATGGTTTCCCCAGTGTATATGAATGTTTTAAGTGTTTCCAATAGCTTACGCGGCTTAGGAGCTTTTCAGTACTCCTTTAATAAGTAATCATTTGCTAATGGAATTTCACCATCTTCCATTTTTTTCCTCTGTTCTCAAATTTCAGCTCTGAGGAGCTGTCCTACAATTCCGAAGTTGCTTTGATTGACCTCTCTAGTCACCTATCAAAAGAGGTTCTTGCTCAGTAACGATATTGTGAGTTAGAATAATGAGTTGTCTTTTGTTTTGTTTTCCACTTCTGATTTAGAAGAAAAGATCCTGTTTCCATATGAAAGGAACTATAGGCTTTTATCTTTTAGCCAACTGAACAACACACCAAAAGCAGCGTAGGGACGAGCATTTCTTCAAAAGCAATTCGGTTGTTCACCTGGTATTAAAACGATTTGCTATTAAAAATGTCTGTGACTTTACTACGTTCATTTAAAAGGCAGCATCAAAAGCTGAAAAGGAAGGGAAAAAACGAAGTAGCTTCTCTGTCCTCTTCTGGAACTCCTGAGAGCAGGAACCGCCGAGAAGAGGCAGCAAGGCTGGGCCACCCTGGCAGGCACAGCACCAAGTCCCCATGGCAGCCTCCATGGGTCGCGCTCTGTGTGCTGCACGCAGCCTTCGAGTCCCCTGGGAAGGAGCGGTCGTCAGCCTGCCTGAGAAGCCCCTCACACTCCTCTCTCTTGTTCTGAATGGTGTTTGTGTCAGTCTGCAGCTGTGTATGGTATTATATCTTATAATCCTGCATCACTTCTATCCTATCCAGTCATATCTAATGTAGAAAATTAGTTTCCAGTGAAAGTAATATGTAGTGCTTTTATGATATTTGTGTGCAATATCCCCTCTTCCATTGAGGATATTTGATGTAAAAGGAAAAAAAAAAAGCTCAGTTCCACAATAAAAATACAAAAAGTGGCAAAAATTTATGTATGTGTGTGACCTTTAGTTTTGTGTTACTGAGTTTGGGTCTTGGGACTTTGAGGTTTGTAAGCCACACAGAACCTGGACCACTGAGGTGGGTGAGTGTTCTTGGAAGGATCTCAGGATGGGACAAGCAGGGAGAGGGCTTTGCTCCCACAGTATGCAGCAGCTGCTAGCCAAGCCCTGAGTACTTACTTCAGGGCTTAAGAACATATCAATCTCAGAAACTAGGAGGTGAGAATTAGGACTATTTCTTGAAGAGGAAAAAAAAAGTGGGATGTGGTAGTTCTGTGGTAGACTTCAGTGTGGGAGAGTCACCATGATGCTGAGTGGACTTCCTTGAAGCTTTCACACTAAGATGGGTTTGAAAGAATAGTCAGGAGACAGGTTGCTAGGTGCCATCAATTTAATTACCACGCACAGTGGCCCTGTGAACAAACTGATCCGTCCCATCCTCGCCACCTCTAATGAGCCCCAGCACATTGTTACAATCACGAGGTCAGTTCGTCTTAAAGTTCTTCCTTTCTCTGACCCTCCACTTCTCCCAGCATGATATCTTTTCCCGGGGACTGGTCCCTCCAGATAACCAGTTCAAAATATGTGAAATGGAGTTTCCCTGTCCTTGCCCTGACTGCATTTCCTCCAGGCCAGATTTATTCTT